AATATACTAATCATTTTTCTAAAAAAAAAAAGTATAAAATATTTTATTTTTTAATAAAATTTTATTAAAAAAACATAATTTTAAGATATTCTTTTACTTAATTTTTTACCATATATGTCAATGAAAAATTATTTTAAAATAATTTTTTTATATCACTTTTTGACATAATATTATATAATATTAAATATATCTACTTATTTAATAATATATAAAATTTATATTAAAAAAATAATATAAAAACTTTGTCCCTACCCCTATGCTAATAACTACTTTTCTATTGTAAAAAGCGTAATTAATGAATACATTTTAGAAAAATCCACAAATGAAAAAGGTTTTAATTGCGTGGGCTATTTTGCCCTTCCTTCCCCAAAATCAATCCTATTCTTCTCTTTCATCACCGGTAGAAAGCAAAGCTGGCTTCTCCCTACGTTGACGATCGGAAACTGTTTCCTGTAATTAGCCGACGCCAGGCCACCTGACGATTTCGTTCGCCTTTCTCCGCCCCTTTTATTCCCTTTATCTTGCTTGTCTTTCACCCCTGTCTTCAACCCATATCAGTTTCAAGACTCAACAGATCCCTAATTGCTCCACCCCCTCTCAATTCAACCCTAACTTCGAACCCTCATTTCTCAGGCTCTTCAATTCAACACAATCTGTTGCCATAAGACCTAAAATTATTGTTCTTTGGGTGTTTTAAACATGGGGTTTGATAAAGAAGCAAGTTCTTCTTCGCATGTTCTGCAGGCACCATCTGGGCTCCCAAGAGAGGATACCCCACTGTTGGGCACGCGCCGACTCTCCTCCCAGTCCAAGACCTTTGCCAACGTCTTCATCGCCATAGTTGGTGCTGGTGTGCTTGGTCTCCCTTATACGTTCAAGAAAACAGGCTGGCTGATGGGTTCCCTCATGCTCTTTGTTGTCGCCTTCCTTACCTACCACTGCATGATGCTCCTGGTTTACACTCGCCGCAGGCTGGAGTCCCACCAGGGCTTTTCCAAGATTAACTCTTTTGGTGATCTTGGGTTTGCCGTTTGTGGCCCCATCGGACGTGGTGCCGTTGATGCGATGATAGTGCTTTCTCAAGCTGGGTTCTGTGTGAGCTATCTGATTTTCATTGCCAACACCCTGGCTTTTATTTATAGTTTTGATCACAAGATTCTTGGTTTGAGCCCGAAGGCTCTGTATTTATGGGGTTGTTTTCCTTTCCAATTGGGATTGTCTTCAATTCCAACACTGACCATGTTGGCTCCTTTGAGTATCTTTGCCGATGTAGTGGATCTGGGAGCCATGGGAGTGGTGATGGTGGAGGATGTTCTGGCTTTCTTGAAGAGTAGACCTGTTTTGCAGGCTTTTGGTGGTTTCTCTGTTTTCTTTTATGGCCTTGGTGTAGCTGTGTATTCTTTTGAAGGAATTGGCATGGTTTTACCCCTAGAATTGGAGGCAAAACACAAGGACAAGTTTGGGAGAGTTCTAGCCTATTCCATGGCATTCATTTCTTTACTCTATGGAGGATTTGGGATTCTGGGCTACCTTGCTTTTGGTGAAGAAACCAATGACATAATCACAACCAATCTTGGAACAGGATGGATCAGCATTGTGGTCCAGTTCGGCCTTTGTATCAACTTGTTCTTCACATTCCCTCTGATGATGAACCCGGTTTACGAGGTGGCGGAGCGACGGTTCTGTGATTCACGGTTCTGCCTGTGGCTGAGGTGGGTGGTTGTTCTTCTGGTGAGCCTGGTGGCTCTTCTGGTGCCTAATTTTGCAGATTTCCTGTCCCTTGTGGGGAGCAGTGTGTGTTGTTTGCTGGGGTTTGTGCTGCCTGCTGCCTTCCATTTGATTGTATTCAAGGATCAATTAAGCTTCAAAGTTTTGACTCTGGATGTGATTATTGTGATACTGGGTTTGGTCATGGCTATCTCAGGAACTTGGAGTTCTGTGCTGGAAATTTTCGCATCTAAAGCCAAATTAACTTGATAAATTTTCAATCAAAAGAATCAGACTTTACAATAATGTAATCTGTGTACTTATGCACAAGATATTATGCTGTAATCTCTCGAAATAGATTTCCTTCTATCTGTATTTTGTATAATTTCAAGTGCAGAAATATTTTTCTACTCTCTCTAAGATGGTTGTAGAATTATACAGGAAAATATAATAAATGTCTGTATCCTGTAGTCCACGAAGAGGACAAGTCTTCCCCAAACGGTATCGAACTTTTGTGGGCAAAACGACACATTCAATAATGAAAGATCCGTATTCACGTTCCCCACAGATCTTCAAATTAAGATTGATAGGCCAACTAACTGTTAGATCATGACGCCGTTTATGAGAAAAAAGAGTTGAGAAAATTGTTTTCATCTCTTGCCTGCCCTCCCGCACTTCCGTAGAGATTTTGGTATCAAACATGTATGCATTTTTGTATGTTTAGATGACTAGTATCACTTGGCTATTAAAAGTTCAAACAAAGATTCCATTTGGTCTATATTCATAATATGGGAAATGACAAATATATATGGATTTGGAAAAGAGAGCACAAGAGCTATAGCATAGCTTATTGTTAGATGCACCAAAAAATAACTAAGGAAAATTATAGAAGAGAAGGCAAAGGCAATGGCAAATTGCAAACCCATGGGCAATTGCATGGAGAAAGAGATTATACAAATTTGAGTTCCATAATCCACATAAAAATACAATCATTGGCACTACATTTTTTGGAAGGAAAAATATTACATGTCAAAATGAGAAAAGGAGAAAAGAAAAGAGGAAAAGAACAACCAGATTGCAAGGGAAGAGATGTTTGCAAAATCACACAGGCAAAAATACAGGGCAGTGTCACTTCTTATGCTTACTATATACAAATGAAAGAATCAGGCCGCCACACAGGTAAAGAAAACGCCCGGTTTAAAAATGAAAAGAAAACAGTCAATAATATAAGATGTTTCCTACCTGACTAAAAAGCACTCCAATGTTCAGTGTCCTTTCTGGGAGTCTGACTCTCCAGGGTTGTCCTAAATGGCCCAGTTGAACCAAATGGATCCACATCATCAAATGAGGGGAAATCACGACTGTGATCAAAGTCCGTGGTGCTGCGTGTGGAATCAAACCGTGCTAGGTAATGTTGAGACTGGGAAGCTCCCCCATCACGTCCATCATGTGCATTAAATGAATCAAAGCTCAGTGGAAAACCATGACCCTGATCGTAATCTCTTGTGCTGCTGAAAGAATCAAACCTAGCAAGAGAGGATCCTTGGGAGAAACCACTTTCGTGCATGTTGAATGAATCAAATCTTGAAAAGCTGTCAAATGAGTGCTCATCTGAGCCTTCACCAAACCCTCGTTGGGAGTTACCAAAACTATAACCGGGGGTGCTTGGAACAGAATCAGCAAAAACAGATGAGCCCTTTCCCTTAAATAAGTTATCAGCGTAGGCAGGAGTGCTTGGAACAGAATCGGCAAAAATAGATGAGCCCTTTCCCTTAAACAAGTTATCTGCGTAGGCAGGAGTGCTTGGAACAGAATCCACAAAAACAGATGTACTTTTCCCTTTGAACAGGTTATCTGCATAGGCAGGTGTATTAGGAATGGAATCTGCAAAACTAGATGAACTCTTCCCCTGGAACATATTATCTGTGTAGGCAGGAGTGCTTGGAACAGATTCATCAAAAGTAAATGAGCTCTTCCCTGGTAACGTGAAATCTGCATTGGAGGACTGGATTTTTATAGGCTTTATGTTGAAGTCACCAAGACCAAATAGAGAATTACTATCATGCCTTTGTTGATCTGGCTTCTGCATGAAACATGAAATCCAATTGTAATGTTCATAAAATCTAATAATGATTACTTTCACAAGCATTTTTTCTTCAACCCAACTCAACCATGGTTCATGCTTAGGAGAATTACAAACTTGAGCATCAAAATTAAGTATAAAAGTTACTTATAATCTAGTCTCTAGAACAAAATCTTTAAAACTGAGGAAAAGGGAAAGAAAAAGCAAAAGGAAATCCAGTTTTTCAATAAATATTCCTCTAAAAACTCAGTACTGTTGTGTGAGTCAATGTTCCATGTTGAAAGTATGAAACCAAAAGTAATAGATACCACAGCAAATATTACATTTAAGAAAAAGGCCAAGATAAATGTAAAAATGATTTTTTTGCACTTGATAGATATAACCTAAAAAAAACAATGCCATTCTTTTGATACCACACCATCAATGTCGTCTGCTACCTTAAATCTCCCACAATTGCACTAGGGTAAATTAAGCCAGTGTGTGCAACGCTAATTCTCCACATACCTTTGAACTATCATTGTCAACACCCCATAGAGAGTCTGGATCATAGTGGATATCGTAACGACCCCAGCCAGGTTCAAAACTTTTCTCTCCAGAAAATATAGATTCAGCACTACCCTGGTCACTGCAGGTATAAATGACCAACAAGTTCAGACACATAAAAGAAAAACATCAAAGGTTTAAACAGGAAGAAAAGGGAGAAAAAACTTACACCCTTTAGCAAAATCATGTGAATGTTTACCACTTAGAAACCAAAAACCAGAAAGGATAAAGCAGTCAAAGAAGTTCTATAACTCTGTTAAATTAAAAGACAAACCACAACACACCTTCTAATTTCTGTAGCATGAGGTGAACCATCAAACTGCACGGAATGTGGTGAACCATTAGCATCACTGGTCTTCATAGCATGGGGTGAAACATCAGCACCACTAGTCTTCACAGAATGCTGTAAACCATCACCACTACTCTGAGCAGATAGGGAATCCTGGAATTCTTGAGATTTGTTCTCCACTGCACCATTTTCTGCTGGGCTATCTGAAGAACTCTTTTCCAAGCCATTCTCACTTTGGTTATTCTCCATGTCCTCAGTGATCCGTTCATTTGTCTTCCCTGACTTCTCATCAGCATCCACAGATAACAGATTCGCAGTCTCATTTGTAGAAGCTCTTTGTTTTTGAACTGATGAAGATTTTGGTTTTGGAGGAGCTATGACATTTTGCACATCAAGGGTAAGGTCTTTTACAAATGTGAAACCTGAAAGGAAAAAACAATGTCAAATGTTACTCATTATTAGGTAGCAAAATATAAATCTGCATTTTATAAGGACATCAGAAGTTCATCAGTGAATATGCTCCGCAGGTAGTCTTAAGATACCTTCATCTTCAAACTTGTCCCAATCTTCATCCCAATCAGCTGCTCCTTCTTGGATTCCAGGTTGCCAGCCTGGGGAAAAATCAGTTCAAAAAGTAAATTAAAATAAAAGAAGGATCAACTGGGAAAGGAAACTATTCTTTTAAAAATGTAGGATATGGAAACTTTGCTGTGTGTGTATATATATAATCCTCTCAAATTTAGACTACATGACAATTCTGCTTGATTCTTTCAACACTTGTGATGATATTAGTTAGAAAAGATGACAACTGTGAGAAGATTTGGGAAAAAAAAAAAAGGAATACTTTGACAAAATTAAGAAGTTTCTGTCTTCCAAGGTTGAAGGTGGAAATATGGCAGTTTTATAGAAGTTGGAAAAACTTAAGAGATAGTGGCAACAAAAAAAGGTTGAAAAACGAAAATAATTTCAAGCCAATAAAAATCTAATTTGAAAGGTAAAACATGAATTTTCATGATTTTACTCATCCTATACACTTCCATCGTAAAATTTATTGCAGTGCCTAAAATACCAAACCTAAAGAAATTTTTTGGATTAAAATTCTCTTGTCAAAAAGATAAAGGGATGCAGAATAAGTACCAAATGGGAGTTCAACCAATGACATGGGTTTAGAGCGCAACCCATATTGTTTGCAACGTTCATTTACATTTTTCACTAATTCCTCAAGACCTTGTTGAATATGATTAGCATGATCCTGCACAAGTTAACAAAAACCATGCACCGGTAAACAAGTTTCAAACATTGCTGTATAATCAAACGTTCTAAAAAAGGATATACCTGAAGATCACCGTCAGCAGTGTCTCCCGCTTCAAATTTCACAATTGCTTGATACAATTCCATCTTTCTTTCCTGAAATTAATTCAGGCAAAGTTAACATAGTTAAAATCTATTTTACAATGCTGTTTGAACATGGTCATTGAGCCAAAGTGACCTGTTTGCTATCAATCAACCATAGGAAGATCCATGAATACCTGAATATCACGAAAAGTGGATTCCTCAAGGGTTAATCTGGAGGCTACATTTCCAGCCTGTCTGTACTTCTCCTCATACTTCTTTGCCAATGCTTCAACCTGAAATGTGTCTCTCTCATTCAATAATAGCCACTACAAGAGAGAGGGAGAGAGGGAGAGAGAGAGAGAGAGAGAGAAAACAAAAGCTATTCTAGAAGATAAATTAAGGCACCTCAAGTTTGTCAGCAGACACCCTCTCTGTGATCTCATTAAAACGATTGTCACATCTGCTTTTATATAAAACCTGATACCAAATAATGAAGAATGACAACAGAAAGGGCAAAAAATTAATGCCAGTCAAGAGCTCCAACACCAAACATGAAAAATTGCAGAATTTACCAAGATCAAGTATTTCATAAGCTAACATGAATAATATTTCATATTTTCATTTTAATAAAGAGTTTCAATACTCCTAGTTCCAGAGGCATCGAATATGACATTAAATGTAGCAGGAATGGCACAAGGCAGAAGCCTGAAGATTTCATTGACAATGGACTACAAGGTAATTGACCCACAAAAATATCTCATAGAACTTATGGCTCACACTTTGAGACACCAAGTTTACTCAATCAGCCTTTCTTCGCTGCCAAATGAGTGTCTCAACTTCAACTCAACTAGAACTGCTTACCTAAGGTTGTGTAGTTAAATAAAAAGGCAGCTCTAGATATAGGTGTAGATGACCCACAATTGACATTTCTAGCATGTATCTAGCCTCATTTCCTAACAACTGTACTTTCTGTCACATAAAATGACTTCTCAGCAGAGGCTAAAGGGTGGGAATACAAAACACCTCCTACAAGACTCTCTTCCAGGAGACCAGGAAACTATTTTCAAATACCCGGTAATTTCACTACTGATGACTAAAGAAATTGTTTCTAAAGCAGAACAGTTGGTTCAAAAATTCCATTCCAGTACAGTAATGTATATTTGATTTTTAGATTTGATAACACTTCCAAGTTCCCTCAATGGGTATTCAACTCATTGTATAAACAACCAATTAGAAGTTGCTTTCTTAAAATTTACATCTTTACTCATTGCAGAGAGATAGAAAAGGACCTAGCCGATCATCTGAGCTAGAAAGTGCAGCATTATCTTCGTCGTAAGACTCATAACCTTAGCCATCCACAGGAAAATAATATTTCAACAACTTCCTTTTTGACATGAAGATATACATTGGGTGATTCCAATAGAGCACTAGCACAATCAAAGACTAATGAATATTCATTCTTAGAGAAACATACCAAACCCATGAAAGTTTGTTGACCATCTAGAAATTTATGCTGTCCCACTTCTCCAATAAGTTAATTGCAATGGTACAATTATGTAACACATTTAACCAATGGATTAAGTAAAAAGATAGAAAACAAACAGAGGTACACTCACTAGTTCCTGCATCTTGACGCGATAGAACTCAGTCTTCATTTTAGATTCTTGTATCTCCCTCTCCAGTTCTTCAACCTTCAAAAAGAGAGAGGGAGTAATTTATGGAGAAGCTATCCAGGTAATACAAAACAGAGATAAGATGAAAATTACTTAATGCAGTTCAAAGCACCCAATAAGATGAAAACTACAGATACAAACTTGGTATTCCAAAGACGATAGTCCTCTAAAAAAACAGTTTTGTGGGCAGATGGATTATCCAGGCAAAACTATATGTCCCCAAAATATCATGCAATCAAGATATAGATTGGATTCAAAGGAAAACTAACAAAGAAATCAGTGAAATAATTACAGAATCTTCACTGTTAAGATTATTTAACAAGGGATATTCTAAGGAGAGTAGCAAATAGCAATGCCCGAATGTTAATGGAATTATAGCCTATATATCAAATATGATGTGGATTAACATGATATGAGCCAAAATTGATAGGGAAAAGAAAAGGAAATCCAGATTATGGTAAATCTCACACTTAAACCTTAAGGATGATGCATGATGCAAACATAAAGTGCCACAAGGAAAAGAGTAAGTGCCTTTTTATCTGCCTCTGTTGCCTCTTTGAGCTTTGAGTTAAGTGAATCCTGCTCCTCTTGGGTAAGTTGATCAATGAGGTGCTTTTCCAGCACTGGAATTTTTGGCTTTCGTGGACTGAGCTGCAAATTTGCATCAGTTTGTGAAACAGTAGCTGGCCGTGGTGGTCTTCCCCTAGCAGATGGTAAAGGAGGTCTTGGAGCATTTATAACTTGTGGCTGCTGTAAACCTGTTGGAGACCCTTTTTCTTAAAATGAAAATCCATAAAAAGAATTAAAGAGCAAAATATTGAGAGCAATCTCCCAGAAGGGAAACTATTACTATACCATGACCAGATCCCCAAGCTGCACCCCCATATGGAACTGCAGGTCGACCTGAGGTGGGGAATAGAGTTTCGTCAATTATCATACTGCTTGGAAGCACGGTAGGAAGGGGGTGGCCTTCCCTGTAACGTTCCATGAGATAGAGAGCAGTACAGAACTCCCTCAAAGAAAGCATGCTGTCATTATCCTGATCTGATAAGTCCCAAACCTTCTTCAATACCTCTGCAACACCAAGAGTTATAATCATTGAGACCATCATGTGATAAGAGAGGCACAAAATGATTCTGCTAACAAAAGTGAAAATGACATGATTTTTATTATAATTAACCAAAATGACAGCTAAAGTCCAATAATGTAGCCAAGAAAAAGAAAATATATAATTTCAAAATAGTGAGGAAAGATTACGAAAAAAGGGGAAAAAAACTAGATAACTTACAGGTGTAGATGAATGACAATATGAACCTATTAGAAGTGAAACTAACATTAAATATTTAGTTAACAAAGACTTTTCATGTGATCACTCATTTGAGTTAAAGGAGTTTATAAAAACATTAGTGGCTATAAGTTCTAGAAATGACAAGAAAACAAGCCCCAAAAAGGTTCCCTTGGGAAAAATCTACACTACACAAACTCAAGAACAAGAATTCTTGAAAAGAAACATTTTGTTATCATTAATAGAAACTCTCAAAATGAGAGAATTGATAAGTTCAAGAAACATAAAAACCAAGAAAAACATAGCCAACCTCTTGGGAGCCTCCAGCTTAAAAAAAGGTTGCGTGCCTCTTCACCAGTTATTTTTCCATCTCTATCAGTGTCTACTTGCAAAAATACTTTAGTATATTTCTGAACATCAGACTGCATCATTTTTGGCCATGGAAGCTGGGCCTGAGTTGATTGACCGGAAACCAAATTCCCAGTTCCAGTAGAAACAGCAGTGCTTTGTGCCACAACCTGCTGGGCTTTTCCTGTTGGATGACCTTGCTGATACTGACCAGCCACAGGTTGCTGAGTCAACTTACTCTGCAAAGATTCAACTGGACTTGGCTTTGCTGAAATTTGTGGCCCAGAAGCAGGAACTGAAGCTGTTGAGACAGCTGAGCTACTTGTAGATGATGTAACAGCCAATGAAGTTTGTGTTGGTTGGGAAGGGGTTGCAGAGAAGACATCTCCAAAAAGTGAGTCAGAGGCAAAACCATTCGCTGAAATAACTGAAGCTTGGTAATCTTTGGCTGCATGCTGGTTGGATGGCATTAACGAATCTTGAGGTTTTGAAGCAGTCAAGGCCATCTGTCCAGTGGCTACAGGTGGTCTTGGTTGAACAGAAGATGTCAAACCTGATACTGTCATCCCAAATCCACCCTGGTTTGTAGAAGAAACAATACCTTGATTAGCAACTTGGGAACTAACTCCAGTTGAGGGACCACCCACGCTTCCACCCAGCCAATTAGTTTCAACATTGGAACTAGGAGGATGAGGCGCCACAATATTACCTCCCCTTGGCATAAGATTGGCTGCTGTAATCTGTTGTGTTGGAGATGCAGGGCTGGGTGGCACAGCTTGTGGTGGCCTCATAAATTGATTTTGTTGTGACGGCAAAAACTGTTGATTTGTGCTTGCATTTCCAAGACCAGGTGTTCCTCTAACAACTAAATTTTGGGGTGACACTGATGGAGTGCCACTTGACAGTGGAATAGATGCTGCTACCCTAGACTGTGGTGCAGGTGTTGTTGCAAGGTTAATCTTGGGAGCAGGAATCTTAGCAGAAGCAGGACCATACAGTGCTGCCTTCACCATATCCGGTGTTAATTCACGCTTGCTTTGTGCAACAGTTACAAGTTTAAGGGCATTATAAAACTCTTGTCTACCTAGATACCCAACTTTCTTCTGATCAGCATGCATCCAGACCTGCATTGTATAGAGGTATACATGAAGTGTCAACAAGTGTAGAAATATGGAGTTATATGCAACAAGAGCTTTTCAAAACTGAAAATGCTTACCAAAACTCAATCTAAATCATACAATCATAACATTCCCATTTACGGTGCAACTGACCCTATCAAAGAATTTGACTTCTAAATGCAGAAAGGCTACAGTCTGGGGCCTTGAACAGACATTTGGCACAAGTAAAGAAGATAAACCCACATTCAGCGCACAGTGTCCACAACATACCAGGAGATCAATGAGCCTCTACTCCAATTTCTCATGAAACACTCCCAAACAGAGGTGCATACTCAGATTCAATCTCTACTACAGAGATGGTAGGAGAAAACAGAACAAGCATCCTGGGATTAGATTGTTAAGCTTATACAGCAAATTATCTCCTCAAATTTTACCTCAATTGCTCTTCTTCCTTTCTTTTCTTCTTAAATTATCTCTCTCTCTATTCCTCTAGCCACTAAGTTGAAATTAAATCAATAAATCGCAGAACAGAGGCAACATCTAGTAAGCTATCATTGGACATGAGAAACTTAATTGGCATCATAATATAAGAAATTCGGTAGACTACCTCCACAGGGCAACCAATTGAATATTTAGAACCAAATCCGATCTAAAAAAACCAGTACCGAAACCTAATCAAAGAGTAAGGAAAGAGAAGTTGACGAAAAAAATAAAAGTTAATTCAATCTAAAAGTCCAAATCCCCGAAAACACACCGAAGTTTCATTCTGTTGGAGAATTAGAAAGGCGAAAGAGAAGAAAATGAGAAGCAACTACCTGAGCGAGAACGTGTTTGGGCAAGTTTGCGCCTTGAAAGAACGCCACCGCCTCGGCTCCACTGATCTGGCCGTCCCCGTCCAAATCTGCTCTCCTAAAATATGCATCGAATAGATCGGCGTTGTTCTGGTTTTGATTTTGATTCTGCGTCGCCATTGTTTCAAGTCCTGAATCTCCGAATCCAGTCACCAAGGAGCTGGAACTTCAGATTCCGGAGAACTCCACGATTCTCCGACGAAAGAAACAATCGAAGGGGGACGGAGATGAATACAGAATCGATCCGACAGTGGAAATAGATGGCCGACGCCGAAGAAAGTACCCGCTCGCTGCACCGCAGCACCGGAAAATAGATTAAAACCGAAGTCCAATTACGGCCCCACCTTTTAATACGCGGCAGAAAATAATTGGTCCCAAAGGTGAGGTGACGTCGTTTTAATGTGACTACTTCGGGTAAGTTTAAGCGGTAACCATATGGTATATAATTTGCTGTTTTCATCCGAGTATTGAGAATATTATGTATTGCTTTGTTTCTTATAAATTATGAATGGATATTAGTTTAAAATTATATTATTTTAATAAATTTTTATTGAAAAAAATTAAAATATTATATTTTTAAAACATGAATTAAAGTGTTATTTGTTTTTTTATAATATTTTATTAAAATTATGTAATTTTAAAATAATTTTTTTCTTAATTTTTACAAAATAAGATCTATAAGTATTAATTTTTTAAACATTTATCAATGATATTTTATATATATTTATTTAATATAATATTATAATTATATATTCACATTTTTGTGTAATATTTTAATTATAATATTATCAAAGGTTTAGTACTTGTCTTTTCTTCATTAAGTCAGAAATTATCAATCTCTATAATCTATATTAAACTTAATAAAAAAAAATTCATTTCTATTTTATCACAAAATTTTAGTTAAAGCATTTTTCGGATTAGTGAACATTTCTGTTCATCATGTAAGTAAATCCATTCGATTTCCACCCATATGAGATTTGGATTTGCAGTAATGAAACTACAACGTAAGAAAGCAACAAAGCCCAACTTAATGGGCCTTCAAAACAATTTACACAAAACACATTTATAATTTTATATTTTATATTTTACAATTGGTTCAAATACCAATTTGGTCCCTAAACTTTCCAATTTTTATCAAAACTATCCTTAAATTTCAAAAAATACCAAAATTATACATAAACTCTAATCTTTCATATCAATAGTCTTTCTATTACCGAAAGTGCTATAGCTTTGTTATTTTGTCACAAAATTAATTCTTTTCAAAATATTAATGATATGTAAAATCAAATAGTTGTATTTTGCTATCGTGGCATATTTCTATTATCGAAAGTGCTATATGATTTGTTATTTTGTCACAAAATTAATTCTTTTCAAAATATTAATGATATGTAAAATCAAACAGTTGTATTTTGCTATCGTGGCATATTTCTAATTACATATCAATTGATATGTAATTAATGTTGAATAACAAAATTAATATTTTAATCAAAATTTAATGTCTAAGTTAATACTTGTTTTCAAAATTTAAGTACTAAGTTGGTACCAAATTAAAGTTTAGGGATTATTTTGGGGCAAAAGGATATTTAAACCCATGTACTTTTCAACATATTTGAAATCAACCCTCCAACTTTTTTTTTGAAATATTTAAACCTTTCAACTTTTATGTTGAAATAAATTAACCCACAAACTTTTTGGTTAAAATAATTAACCCAAATCCAACGAATGACATTATGAAACGTTAGTTTACCGTAAAACCCAACTGTTTAGCGTTAATAAATTGCTGATTTGTTGCATGTGGGACCCAATTTAGTATGGTATTTACTAACATGATGTCGACTTTTTTTTTTTCCTAACATAGCTCTTTAATTGCTAACATGAACTAGTTAATTTCCTTAAAAATAACTGAATTTATTGGCTTAAAATTGAGGATATTGGGTTTTTTGCATTGTGAAATCCATTTTTGACTCCTGGAACATCAACTAACAGTGTAGGACCTACCAAATGACCAAATATTGGCATTAGCAAATTGTAAAATGGAGTGAAATTAGAATGAACAATTGAAAATTTCAAAATCCTTTTCCTTTACCATTGAGAACCTCCAAATCAAGCGTATCAACATCAAATCCGACATCAAAGTAATGATCCAAGACATGGCCGGGGGTGTCAACATAAGTGCTGATGTGGGTCGACAGCTTCATCTCTAAGTTGTTGGCAAGAGAACCATTCTTCAAGCTAGCAGGCAACCATAGGAACTGTCCCAAACCATCCTTTTTGTCTTAAGACGAGATGTCATTTGTTATCTTCTAATTGAGGTCAAAGATTCTCCCATCAACAATTGCTTCACACTGAATAGGAATCAAATTCTTGTTTCTTGAAGAGAGTCGGTAGTTAATGGGGTTAAAGGTGCCTAAACCGATGGGTAGGCGATGGTGGTGGTGAAGATGGAAGAGAGGAGGAGGAAGACGTTGAAGAGCAGAGACATGGTAGGATGAATTTGACGAAAGTGAAGAGTGAGGTGGAGTAGGTAGAGCATAGATTAGTGGTGTGTTTGTTTGGAAAAAGTGGATTTCATGGAGCAGAAATCCCTAAATCCTCAATTTTAAGCCAACGAATTCGGTCATTTTTTGGGAAATTAATTAGTCTAGGTTAGTAATTAAAGAGTCATGTCAACAAAAAAATAATTCACATCATGTTAGTAAATACCATGTCACTAAATTGGATTCCATATGCACTAAGTCGGCAATGTATTAATGCCAAATAGTTGGATTTTACGATAAATTAACATTTCATGACATCATTCATTAGATTTGAACTAATTTATTTCAGTCAAAAAGTTTGTAGGTTGATTTATTTCAACAAGAAAGTCAAAGGGTTTAAGTATTTCAGAAAAAAAAGTTAGAAAGTTGATTCCAAATATATCGAAAAGTATATGGGTTTAAAAACCCTTTTTACTTGGTACTAAATTAAAGTTCAAGGTCTAGTTGATATTTGTTTTCAAAGTTTAAGGACTAAGTTAGTGCTAAATTAAAGTTTAGGGACAATTTTAATATTTTT